CCCATAAAGTGACTTCTTCAACTTACACATCTTTCCTTTAATCACTTGTGATGAAAAACAAGTGGAATCTCCATATATTCTTCCTCCTCCAAGTCTTCATAAAAAAAAGAAGCATTTTTCACATCCAACTGTTGCAAACTCCATATCAAATTAGCTACAAGGGATAGAAGGGCGCGTATGGAGTTCATCTTTATCACTTGGAAAAATGTATCTTGATAATCAATATAATACGTCTCAATGAATCCCTTAGCAACCAATCTTGCCTTGTATTTCTATATTGTCTCTACTAAACTGTCAACTTGTTGTTTAGTAGTGAACATCCATTTGCACCCAACTAATCTTGCTCCAACAGGAATTGGAACTAATTCCTATGTGTCATTCCTTTTTAGGGTTCTCATTTCCTTTACTATAGCTTATTGCCACTTTGGATCAATGAGAGCTTTTTTTCCAACCTTGAGGAATAAATATAGAAGACAAACAAGAAACAAAGGTACAATAGGATAGAGACAATGAATCAAAAAAAAAAAAAAATTAGAGATGGGTTGTTGAGCATAAGCTCGAACACCTTTTCTAATTGTAATAGTAAGCTCAAAATCATCAACAGTTGAATTATCAATAACATGGGTTACAATTGGAAGCTTGTTACCTTGTAAATTTGCTGGAGATGCTAGAATTGGAGTGGAGGAATTTAACTAACCCAATGGTACATGTGTGGTATGTACCTTCTGACTCCAAGAATAAGTCTTCAGAGTATCAAGTGAATCATTGGTACCAACAATCTGTTACTTCCTCTTATTAGTATCCCATTAGAAAGGCAATTGAAGAAATGGCTCCTAACATACCATCTCTTCCTCAATAGTAGTGTTCTCCCCCTGAAGAGATGGTTGGGAAGGAGAGAAAAATGGCTCAAACTCCCGAAAGGTAACATCCATGCTCGCATACATCTTCTGAGATGGTGGATGATAGTATTTATACCCCTTTTGAGTGGGAGAATAATCAAAAAAGACATTGATGGTCCTCAAGATCAAGTTTCCCCTAGAGGCTCTATAGTCATTTACAAAACAAACACACCCAAAAACTTTAGGAAGAAGAGAAGAAATAGAATGAATTGGTAAAATCCTAGAAAGACACTCAATAGAAAACTTAAACTGCTGGACACTAGAAGGCAGATGATTAATAAGATATGCAGCAGTAAGAATTACATCTCCCAAAAAATGCAGGGAACATTCATAGTAAACATCAATGAACAAGCAACCTCTAAAAGATGTGGTTTTTTGGCTTAGCAACACCAATTTGTTCTGGGGTAGACACACAAGTAGTTCAATAAAGGATGTCACTTCCATTGAAATAAGAGCGAAAGTCCCCATCAATGGACTCAGTTACATTGTCATTGTGAAGGACTTTGATTTTGGCATCAAATTGAGTACCAACCATTTTATGAAAAAGAGCGAAAGCAAGGGAAAACCTCACTTGTAGTACGGAGTAAGTAAACACGAGTAAGACGAGAATAACAATCAATAAAAGTGACAAATCAACGATAATCTAAGAGAAAGGCAACACAAGAAGGTCTACATACATCATAATGAATGATAACAAACAACTGGTTTCTGACACTATCTGGGAAGTGTTTGCTGGATTCAACTCCAGCTGAGAATTTTCTAAACCTAACTGACTTTCAGGCAGATTTAAGTCATGGGGCAAAGGCGATGAGGAACCCTTAAACTCGGCAGTTTGGCTGTTTGATCCATCCTCACAAGAATCCGAACCAGAATCCGAGCAAGATGCAGACTCAATAAACGAGACATGGTTGAATGAAGACATGACAAAGCATGAGGGACGCACATTCTGAACAACAATTCCTTGTGAATGTGCCAGGTTACAATCTCTACAATTTGTGTAAATATGTGCAAGCATTCAAGGGCATCAACAGATCGTTCAGCGTTGTCCAACCACTGTCTCAAGCTAACATCACTACAATCGACGGCACGAACAACCTGGCTCATTGCCACCCATCCTTAGAGCCTCCCAACTGGGTTTTAATGTGATTGGTGTGAGGCAGCAAATCTCTATCTCTCACCTTTCTCCCAGGAATACACCCAGAATGAGGAGGTGTCTCAACGAATAATCTGATATAGCTGGCACGAACCAATCTAGGGTTTCTATCAGAAACCGCCGATGAATTTATTCCCCAAGAACAATCAGACTTCTGCCAACCAGACTCAGACGAACCCTCCATTGTTATCCACCTATAGCTACAAGAGGTCTAGTGTATACCCAGACACAACCACGAAATGGAGGAATCCCTGAACTTCTAAGACATACTTTATCTTTCACCAGTGCCATTGTGAATCAACAACTCATCTTAGCAACAGAAACAATCAAAACTCATCATCCTAAAAAAGCCCAAAACCTCACTTTTCTTAACAAAACAATTCCCTGTTGGCCATAAAACCATACAATCATAAGCATAAAATTTGCAGCTTTAAGCATGAATAACTCA